TAGAAGATCTTCTTCTTTTTCTTGTCCCATGGCCCATAAATAAAGGTTATATTGTCTAAGAATATTGGCTTTGATAAAGGTAGTGTAATTAACATCTAGAATTCTAGTGATAATACTATCAATAATTGAGTATCTAATTGGACCTGTGACTGGATTTGTGATAGTTTCTTGAGTTGAAGTAATATTCAAGAAGGTTTGTGAAGCCCATAACTTTCTTTGTTGATCATATTTGTCTGTTAGTTGGACTAAAGTTTCAATAATATAAGCTTCTCTTTTCTTAGTGACCTGTAATAATTTGTGTTTTCTCATGAACATATTGATCACATGATATAGAAAGTAGGTTGCTATATACAGTGTTGACATATTTTATTAAATGCTGTTTTGAATAGTACTGAGTTATATGATAGTTGTTCCTTGCTTATTTGATTAGTACTTGTTTGTTTGTTTATTTGTTTTGTTTATTTATTCTTGTTTATATAAACAAGATGTTGATCTGTTGATTGTAAGTTATGTTATTATTTTAGATCTATTGTATTTTAATAACTACTATTATATGTAAGTATAAAGTGTAAATACATAAACAAGGTATTGATCTTTTAATTATAAGCTGTATTACTATTTTTAGATCTATTATTATTGTTGATAGCTTCTATAATATGTAAGTATGAAATAAACAAGATATTGATCTGTTGATTGTAAGTTGCATTACTATTTTTAGATCTGTTGTATTATTGATAATTACTATCATATATAAATATAATGCAAAAATATATAAACAGGTTGTTTATTTGACATGTAAGTGGATTACTATTCAAACTGACAAACATGATATGTTTGTATTATATGATCCAAGATATTAAGTATTGTTATATTGTTTATATTATTTTCTATTATTAAGTAATTGAAACTTGAATATCCTTCTAAGTATTAGCTGATTTATTGGCTGAAGTTATTGCCTATAGTGTTTCTTCTAGTGTCAAGAAAGATATTAACCTGCATTGGCCTGGTTGAGAGCTTTGTGGAGTTGAGGTTGAACCTCTAGGAGCTTATTATAAATCAGTTTTCTTGGGATTTTCTTTCCTCTGTAAAGAAAAATTATACTGTAATAGTTTTTTCTCTAATACTTATCCTGTAATTATTATTACAAAGAAGTATAATAGTTTTGAAGCTTGATAACAAGCTGTTGTTGTTTTTGAACTATGTATTTCTTAGATATTGAAGGCCAACTTCTTGGTTTCCAAAAATATTACCAAAAAAAAAAATTTTTAAGGAAACTGGGGGTCAGCGAAAAGAATATTTTTTTTTTTGTAAGCTAGTTAAAGTTTTTAGCTTTAACAATTTATATTATAATATATAATTTATAATTGTTTAATAAAGTATACATAGCTAGTCTAATAGAGAATAATAAAATAAAAAACTCTTTCTCTACCTACACACAAAAAAGATGTTCATAAGAAATTTTTTATTTCTTTATTAATAAGTCTTAATACTATCCCTAAACCAACTTTAAGTTTTATTTCAAGAGATATGCCTAAACTCTTTTCTTGTTTATATTTATCTTCAAACAAAATCTTGACTTTTTATGACCTAAAAAAGTCAAAAAATATCTTCTCTACCTATAACAAGAAAGTTCTGAACTAATAGTATAATACTTAAAACCTTTTATGTTAAAGCATGTCTATAGAGATTATCTGTAGTGAGAAGTAACAAATATCAAGCCATATTTTAAAGTATCTGCCTACTATTTCTTCTTTTTTATAGTTGCTCAAAATTTTTTTGTTTTTTGGGGAATTTTACTTATTTCAGTTTAATCCTGATTTTTAAATGATACAATCTATTACAAAATATAATTGATGGACATGAAACATATTAGTAGCTAAATGCAAACAAGTCCCTACTAATTACCTCACATATTTTGATGATATTATTAATAATTGAAAGAATTGATTGGTACCTTGTGTCCACTTCACTTCTTTAATTGAATTAACCTATAGAATAAGTTTCATGAGATCAATAAGATACAAGCAATAAGTCCTCAGATGATAAAAAAGCTGCTATTTCTTTAAGTTGTGATCTTTCTTTTCTATTATTCTGATTAGACAAAGTTCAAGACCAAGGTCTTCTTTTTATTTCAATCTGACAATAAGATCAAATGGTCTCTAGTCTATACTAAGCTTCAACTCTTTGGTTACAATTGTAAAAGTATTTTTTCAAAAGTTATTGAAGGATATTACAATTAACGAGGATTTCTATCACTTTTAAAACCCTTCCACTATTACAAGGCAAAAGAATTATCAGAGAATCTAGCCTTTTGGATACTGGAAGATATATATTAGTAAAATTATTTTAACTAGGTGTGGCTGCTGAAAGGTATTATACTGAAATAACATGACTTAGTTTTTACTAGGTTATATAAGAATCTGGAGTTCATTATAAGTTGACTCTCTATTACAGGTAGGTAAAAAATTACTATCCAAAGAAGGTTAGAATCAAGTGTATCCTAAAAGTAAAGACTTCCACTAGGTAATAAGTCTTCTCAGACAGTATATAAGAAGAAAATCAAGATTAAAAATAGATAAGTTCTTCAGATAGTTAGAAAAAGAAAGAATATCCCAATTGAATATTTCTTATTGAGAAGAGGTTTTGAAAAGTAGATCTTTGGAGGAAGCTGAAAATTTTTTTTTTCAATTTTTATCTTTTTGTTTTTTTGTTATTTATTTAAATATTTTTAGATATTTTTTTCCTTTTTTTTCAATCAATTCTTTTGTAGTTTTCTGTATTTCAACAGCTTGATCAGATATATAATGATAATAACCTGCTAGTAATAATATAGTGGACTAGAAGGGTTTTTATTCAAAGACATTGCAGAGTGAAATATTGTTTCTAAGGTTGAATTTAAAGGTTTTTATACTTATAACAAGTTGATTAAATTAAAATAATAGTTTGGCTATAATATACTGTATATTATGTTGCTCAAATGAAAATGTACTTATATTTTCAATTGATTAATAAACTGACAATTTAGCCTGGCTACGAGTATTCAAAAAAAAAATAGTCAATCTAATAGAGATTTTTTTAAAAAAAAAAGAAGATTCAAGAAAAATATATAAGAAATAGTTAAAAGAAAAAAACTAGTCCTTTAAATACAAATAGTAGAGTTAATAAAGAAAAATAATATAGATTTAAAGTTTACCAAAGTTAAGAGATATATCAATAACCTTTATAATAAAAAAATAGATATCCTAGTCAAAGAAATTCTAATACTTCTATTGATAAAATAGAGAAATTTTAACTTTTACAAGATCATTATCAAATTAAATAATAAGATAAAATCTTAATAATCCAATCAGACAGTTTATTAAAAATATGAACAACAAAACAATAGTTTACAAGTGAATATAGTAAAATAAAATAAAGAAAAAGTAAAGTCATCAAATTTTAAAACAACAAGTTTATATATAAAATTCAATGTAAAAGAAAATAAAAAATAAGTATAAATGGAAAATATTCTTTAAAAAATTTTAATAAAAAAGTTTTTTTATTAAACTAATCAATAATAAGCTATTAATATTAAGTAAATTGTCTATATAAAAATTTAATCTTTATAAACAAATAAAATATATTGTATATGGTTAATAAAATAAAACTATATAATATTTACTGAAATGTTCAATCTATAAAACCCAATTACAAATATTATAAAATAAAAAAATAGATAGAATACTTAAAAACTTTAAAGGACTTCTATAAGAAAAAAAAAAGAAATTGAAGAGAAAAATATTAGATTGATTATAAATAACCAAAAAAAATTAAGAATTCTTAACAAATATATTTCTAAACTAGTAAAATAAATTTTAAAATTAATTAAGACACTTTAAGTTTTTGTATTAGTCTTATAAGAAATGATCTTATCAAAAAAAAAAAATAACAAAAAGATAAATGATAAAAATACAAAATAGAGTTTGCAATTTAGTCTATAAAAGAATTTAAAACAAGAGATATAAGAAAATAATTAAATAAAAACAAATATAAAGAATCTATAGAAAAAATATGACAAAAGGATCTTTATATCTTCTAGACCAGAAAACTATATATTTATCAAAAAGAGACTATTACTGAAAAAAGAAAAACTAAAAAATAAAAGTTTCAAGGAGATTTTAACTAAAATAATTGAGTTTGAGCCTTATCAAAATCTTCAAAAATAATTTGAAGTAGTCATCCATAGGTAATAAAGTTAGTAGTTAGAAGAGTCTTTATTTGAACTACTAATAGATCAATAAATTACTTTCAAAGTTATACTTAGAGTTTTGATAAATTTCAAAATATAGATAGGTGAGTTAGATAGTAATTTAGCTTTAGTGATGCATTTTATAATATAAAATATGTAAATCTTTAATAAAACATAAGTATATTAATTTATATATAAATATTTTATTATATGAAATATAATATATTAAAATTTTAAATAAAATTATTATGTAAAATTTTATGTAACTTTTTAAAATAATTTTAATTAAGAATTTTATATTTTTTTTTAATTTTATATGTAAAATTGTATATAAGTTGCAAGTTACACATTATTTGATGATAAATTATATATGAAAACATATTTAAATAGTCAAATTTATAAATATTAGTTTAGTATACTATATATTTGTTATAACGTAAAATTTTCAAATTAAAATAAACATACTGTATAATAATAATATCAATTATAAAATAGTCTTAAGTAAAATTAATTTAGTTTAAATGAATTTTATAAACTTCAAACCACTGTATATATGATTTATTGTGAAAGATAATTTTATATAGTACATAATCTATTAATTAATGGAAACTATTAATAATCGATTTAATAAAAATCCTTTTTTAATTTTTAATACATGATGAAAATATAAAAATTTTTTTATTTTAAATAATAGTTTGATAACAAATTCAAAATGTATTAGTAAAAAAGTAAATTTAGAACACGAAAGTCTCAATAATCAGAATATGAAATTCTATGGCAAAATGACATAAGGAACACCTGTTCTGTTTCTGGAAGGAACGTTCATTTTCCCATGTGGATTAAAGGCTTCGATCTCATACGTACTCAAGTGTAGCCGATTTTTCTAAGAGAATCGGCAATGATTTATGAGGTGACTGAGATATCATATTAGATTATGTAAATAACAAAAGAAGTAAAGATCACCCGAGCCATTAATAAAGAGCAATATTTGGGCACCACCGAATAACCACCATTACTTAAATCCTTTGAGATCACGGCATCGGTTAAATTATGACCAGATCTGGTATTAATGCCGAGTTCCGCGTATGGTTTGATATCTCCTATGCATTTTGATACAGTAGTGATGTTTAATCCACGCACATTTGCCGCCTTATCTAAAATCGACAGGGCGGCACCAACTGTTCGAGGGTGGAGATCATGTTGGAGAACAATCAATCCGGTTGACATTTTGGGAAACCTTGCCATCCACGAATCAAAAGTTTGTACAACCGCGTCAACGGGTTTTGAGAGATCTGATATCAATGACCAGTCATTACTATCGAACTCTGGAAGCCATAGGGTGGTAACTAGACCGACGGCTTTGGAGATTGCGCGAACTCTGTTATCGGTGTCTCCGTATGGAGGACGAAAGTAGTTTGGTGTTGCATTTGTAATATCGTGAATAGCCTAGGGCGCGATGATCATTTTTATTCGGAAGGTTGGGAATTTTAAAGTCACATCTAAGGGAGATCATACCTTGATCGTCCATCTCAATTCCGCGACGATTGACTCATTTGAAAGGGAAGTGAGCGCAGGATGAGACCATGTGTGCACCGCGATGTGATGACCTGTACCAAAGGAAATCAATTATTCAATAACCTTCACATTTTCGGACCCGTTCGACGATACGAACCGCTATCATAGGCAGCTTTGAGAGTTAGGGGGTTCGAAATGACGCGACTTCCGGTAACAAAAAATGTGGCTTTTAAATTTCTTTGGAGTAAAAAGTCCAATAATTTAGGTGTCGATTTCGATGGGCCGTCATCATAAGTCAAACCCCAATCACCTTTCTTTGGGCAGGTGACGATGTCATCGGGAGCAGTGTACTTTTGACAGGTCCAACTTCCTTGATTCGGTTTCATGGAAGTTTCGGCTTTACAATTAGGCTGATCATAGTTTATTTGACCACCATTGGATGGAGGCAGGTTAGGAACCTTACTAAAATCCAATGTTTTCACCCATCGTTTGACTATCGGATCGTCGGTATTCGGTGTTTCATCGATTGCTGGGTATATCAATTTCCTTCCATTGAATGTCATCGTCACGCTTGGAGCCGGATTTTTTAATTTCGTGGAGGTGCCAGTAATCACATTTGCAAGTGGAAACTGCTCTTGATAATAGGCACTTCCAAGAGTCATCAGAAAAATGATAGACATAATAGATATCATTTTTTGATATTGCCAAATAAGGCGGCAATTAAGTTCGACTTCGAATCCAAGTAGAAAAACGGGTCAATGATTATTTGACATAGAACAAGAGAGAAAAAGATACTGAATTTAGTGACTATTTATAAATTCTATTCTTTTATGCCCGAATATATAGAACATAGAAGTTCTTCCCGAGTGACGTGAGATTTCCGAGTAGTCTTTAGACTGCGTCCCCGAATTGTTAAAATTTATCAGAACCTTCACTGCACCTTTCGATAGTCAAATTTATCGTCGGAGTTGCCAATGGCTGCCTGAGAAACCCTACGTTTCGATCTCTGACCGAGCTAGATTCGTCACGATCAATTTCATTATTTTTGTTCTACCCGAACTAAAAAAAAAAATCAAAATTAAAATACAACGACACCACCCTATGTGGCAAAACTGTCTTCGAAATCGATTGACACATTTGCAATAGAATAAATCGTGGTAAACTTATACAATAATATTAAAGGGTTAATTATTATAAATTTATCCGTAATCGTTTCGATCATGTGACTTTATAACAGGACATAAGATCTGTTATCACCTGTTGATCTAACCATAAATAGTCAAGGAAAAAAAAAACAAAATTGTGTCTAATTTGTGTCACTAGTTTGTCAAGTGCGCACAATACATTCCATCCCTTGGTAGGTCGGGAATCACCGATCACGTGATAATTATAGAAAAGATCACATACGACTTCCGCGCTTCATTTGAACCAAGGGAATTTCCTGGCAACTTGACACCACGCTTGGAACTAATATTTTTTAGGCAAATAAAACGGAAATTTAATTTATCAGTGCATACCAGCATCCTTCAGAAAACACTCCAAATTTCCTAATTTGCACTTCCCCCATTCCTTAAAGGAAAAAAATTAAGTACATACGTACGAATATACTCTACATACATACTCACGTATGCACGTATGCACGTATTATATATGATCCAATGTATGTAGGATGTGCCACCCATTCGATACAACCGGGCGTTCGTTCCATTCATAAGTATCTATGGAAAAAATGGAATTAGAGCTTTCGAAATCTCCATTTTCTGCATGGTCATCTGTTGATTAATTGTTACTACTTCAAAGCCGGAAAGAATCCGGAAAATCAATGCCTTATTTTCAGCCCATCAGCTCAGGCTATGCACTTGTGACAGAATTTTTTTTTTTTAATCTGCTATTCGCCATACATATTGATGTAATGATTGTTTCACATTTGCGATTCACGTAAAGGAGCTACTACCATGTACTGTACATACGTATTTAATGTGGTTCACATATAACCCTAATTATGAAGTTAAATTTATAAATTACCCCGTCCGATGCTTCTCAAATATCTATCTTTTTCTTTCATAAAAAATAAGAAAAATATATATATACAGTATATGTGCATTTTATACACTTCTTCTTTTTCAATATTTTAAAAACCTTCTAGAATTTTGCATATATGTGTATCATTATACGTTATACTATTTTTTAAATACATACTTTTATAAGGTCGAAAAGAGTTGATTTTTTCTTTTTTTTCTATTTCCACGCATGGATTTATATAGTCAAATTCAGGATCTCTTGGAATTCTCGAGTAATGTAACTTGTAAGTGCACCTGTTAAGTAATTTCGGTGGCTTTTAGATGTGGCTTCGATAATTCTTTGGGTTTTTATGTTAGCACTTCGATGATTATATGTTTGCTCACATTCATTAATAGGTGCCTTTTCCTCTTATTTCTTTTATATCGTCTCATTATAAACAATAGTATTACTAAGAGAGCAATCGGATAAACTCATCTGCGAAAGGAATTTGGTAAAGAATGAAGAGGAGGAGGACTTGGAAAACCTATCCTATGACATCGCTTTGGCATCGAAGTCTTTACGTGGTACGTTATTTGATATTCGTTATTGATATAGGCGAATTGTTAATGTGGCTTTGATTCATTTTACAATAGTGTTGGAGTTGCGCCGAGAAATTAGCTCAACCAGAACGGAGTTGTTGGATGTGAAAGATCTGGTCAACAATTATGGAGAGGAGAATCTTTCCAACGATTGGATTGATTATGCTCAAGACGCAATGGAACATTTGTCTCTCCTTTTGAAGAAAGGAATCGAATGTAAGTTCTTCTCTTTTGAAATTTAACGGTCTAATGCATGTACACATTCGTTGAAACAACATATGTACTATCATGCATATTATGATCCAATGTAGTGTCATCGAATGATTTCGCAAAAGCCAAGCATGTCAAACCGGAATGTCATGACGAATGCGAATATGAATACTGTGAAAGAGCGGCATCTCCCAAGGACTTTGTGTATTATAGCAATCGACTCTATAGGGATGATTCCTCTTCGGAATCTTCAACAAATAGTAGGCCTGCTAGTATCGTGATTCCTTCTGTGGATGCGGATACCGCTGCCCAAGACCTTCGAACAAGATCAAATTTAACTCGACGTCACACTATGGATAATGAAGACGTATCCGCCGCTCGCTTTTTTGTCGGTCATCTCGGGTTTAAAAAGACTCCGTCCAAAGCTTCAACAACTACTTTCATCTCGCAGGAGCAAACTAGCGCCGAGTCGTTGATTAATTCTGGAAATTGGCCGTTATCAGTTGAACAAAATGATGATGATGATAGCCTCTCTTCTCCTGCGGCACGACAGCTTTCACAGTTGATGGTTCAAGAGTCGACAGAAGAGTTTGTTGATGCAGTTGAGAAGCAGGATGACAGTCGTTCCCGCAACAGTCTTAGAAAATCGATTTCGAACGATCCAAATATTCTTAGTCGGACTTCGGTGGAAAGATTAAATTTTTCGTCTTTACCAGCTACTCTCGACTCCGTGCCAGAAGATGAGTCTCTATCACAGTGGGTATGTACAATATATTATCGCACGACGATCATCGTATTATGAGCAAAAATTTTAATACCTATTATTTTCAGGATGATTACGAAGATTCGGGCGTAGAAAGATTATCATCGCCCTCTTTTCCAGCAACCTCAGCATTTCAAATTAGCCTTCATCGTTCCAAGCCAAATTTGTTTGCCGAAGAGGTTAACGTCGACAATCCGGTTCGAGTGGGAACGGGATATGGCTCATATATTGCATATACGTGTACGATCAGGGGTCAAGAGGTATGACCGTAAGGTTCAACATCTTCCGACCATCGCGATTCGGCAAGGGACTAATCTGTTGATTTTTTAGGGCGCAAACATTGTGACGAGAAAACGATACTCGGATTTTATTAGATTAAGATCCCAGTTGATCAAAGCACATCCAAAGTACAAAAAGTTGATACCATGCTTGCCACCGAAACGAGTCGTAGGGAAATTCTTACCAGAATTTATCGAACGAAGACGTAAAGACTTGGAATATTTTTTATCATACATTCTACTTCACCCAGTACTTGGTTCGAACATGGTGGTGAGGAGATGGTTCATGGATTAAAGAACTTGCTCATAATCTCATAACTTCGGCAAGATTTAGCATATTTATTTGAATATATCTCTAATTTTATTCGTCTTCAGCCGTCGGACAATTACTCTAATCTTCAAAAAACTTTATTTTTATCTTTCGAAAAAAATCATGTTCTCATTGTAATTTTAGTTCTATTCTCTCTCTTGTATATACTTTGTTATTTTTAAATCTTCGTCTTCTCCATTCTAATTAGTTTATTCTGTAATTAGTATAGTCTAAAACTCGTAATTTGATAATCTTCAACCAGTTACACGATTAGTTTCTTTTTAATTACGTAATAAAGATTGATTCTTGGTCCCTTTCTATCGAAGGTTTAAAGTGATGCGAGATTGTATTGCATTATAGGAACCAATGAGACTCGATAGATAAGAATTTAACGCTTGGCGTGATTAGGGATTTCAAAGTCAGTCTTCGGCAAAAAGTTCTATATAAGGGCAGCTAAAGGTGGTATTAGAAATCACTTCACTTCTTTCTTTCATATACTATTTGTGGTGAGGCCTGTATTTTTCTTAAATAATGGTACGTTGAAACTCAAAATGTCATAAAAATGCTCATTTATAGTAAAAACCAATAGGAATGTTTAGATACAGTAACTACGGGATATACAGTGGGAAATATTAATATACTTTTAATTACGTAATATTACATTAAACATTATCCGTGTTCACAAATTACAATAAAACTCACGCGCGAAAGCTTAAGTCCATTAAATTTATTTGCCATAAACTTCAATTTTAACAATTCTAAGTTCATTTTGTTACAAACTTTAAGTTTATTTGCTAAAAACTTCACATTATTCTTTTTTAACCTGCTACAATGTATCTTTATTTCATTCTCCTAATAGATTTTCTATATATTAGAATTATTGTTAACAATTTATTACTATAGATTAGTTTAAAATTACTATAAAAGGATATAGAGAATTTTAAATTATCAAAATAAATTCTTGAATAATAAGATTTCATTAAAATTTTTGAAAAATTGTATAGATATAATATTAACCTTTTTAGTTAATTCTCTTTTTTCTCAAAAATTTTCTTTTTGAATAATTTTTAGAAAAAATAAATCAAGATACAAATAAAAATAATTATTTTATCTTTCAATAAACTATAATACATATATAATAAAATACAAGTAATATATAATAAATATTAATACATTATTAATAAATATAAATTATTTCACATTAATTTTACATCTCTTTTTTTTCTTTCTTTAAATTTAAGAAGAAAAAGAAAAAATATATAAATTAATTTATAATCAAATAGAAAGTTAATATTAATTTTTTTTTTTTTTTTTTTTTTTTTTTTTTTTTTTTTTTTTTTTTTTTTTTTTTTTTTTTTTTTTTTTT